TGGAGGTAGGAAATGTAAAAAAGATTTTGTGCCATCCTTAGTATAGGCCTACCTAAAATCATAATAAAGTAGATTGATATATTAATATTTCCAGATTTCAGCCTTTAAAGTTGATTGCAATACACATGAAATTTGTTACCATTGGACTTGGAAACATGTTCCAATTCCACCTGCTGACTTTTTTGGACAAATCACTTCTCGGAACTTCCATTTTTTTATCTTAAAATGGAAATAATAATCATAAGAAATTGATCAAACATTATGACTATCAGATTCAGTAGAGTGCATAAAAGCTTTTTTATTAAAAAAAATTTTTTTAATGTTTATTTTTAAGTGAGAGAGAGAGAGAGTGCACAAGCAGGGGAGGGGCAGAGAGGGAGACAGAATCCCAAGCAGGCCCCAGGTTTCAAGCTGTCATCACAGAGCCCTACACGGGACTCAGATCCACGAACTGTGAGATCATGACCTACACTGAAGTCAGATGCTTGACCAACTGAGCCACCCAGGCGCCGCTTTTTTATTTTTTGAAGTAGGCTCCACACCCAGCATGGAGCCCAACATGGAGCTTGAACTTACAACCTAAGATCAAGACCTGAGCTGAGATCAAGAGTTGGATGTTCAACCAACTGTGAGCCCCCAGGCACCCAAAAAGTTTTTTTTTAATCAGAGGAAGGGAAAGGTAACAGATTTTGGGGTCAAAGGAATAAGTTTGAGTTTTGGCTCTGCTATTTGCTAAGTGACCATGGTCATACAGAGAAAGACAGATACCATATGTTTCCACTCTTACGTGGATCCTGAGAAATTTAACAGAAGACCATGGGAGAGGGGAAGAAAAAAAAAAAGTTAGGGAGGGAGCCAAACCATAAGAGATGCTTAAAAACTGAGAATAAACTGAGGGTTGATGGGGGGTGGGAGGGAAGGGAAAGTGGGTGATGGACATTGAGGAGGGCACCTGTTGGGATGAGCACTGGGTGTTGTATGGAAACCAATTTGACAATAAATTTCATATTTAAAAAAAAATGTATGGAGGGGCGCCTGGGTGGCTTGGTCGGTTAAGCGTCTGACTTGGGCTCAGGTCATGATCTCATAGTCCGTGAGTTCGAGCCCCGCGCCGGGCTCTGTGCTGACAGCTCAGAGCCTGGAGCCTGTTTCAGATTCTGTGTCTCCCTCTCTCTCTGCTCCTCCCCTGTTCTGTCTCTCTCTGTCTCAAAAAAAAATAAATAAACATTAAAAAATTTAAAAAAATGTATGGAGCATTCTAATAGTATATTTATTTCTCTCAGGACTTTATCATATGATACTTGACTGACATAAATGCCTATTCCATTTGACCAATTTCTATACTCTAATGACCTTTCTCTTTCCAAATGTTTTATTCTTTATTTCTTTATTTCTTTAATAGCATTAAATCTTTCACATTTTCTCTGTTCCTTCAGTTATGGGCCAGAGATTTTCTTTTCTCTTTTTATTTTGAGGGGTATACTTTTACCAACTTCACCTATAAGCAATGTTGGATTTTTGCACATTCTATAGAGATGTCCATAAACGGTATTATTCCGACACAATTGGATTCTAAAATATTAATTGAGGGGCGCCTGGGTGGCTTAGTCAGTTGACCGTCCGACTCTTGATTTTGGCTCAGGTCATAATCCCAGGGTCATGGTATCAAGCCCGTCTGATCATGGAGCCTGTTTATGTCTCCCTCTGCCCCTCTCCCCTGCTCACTCTCTTTCTATAAAATAAAAAATAAAATAAAAATAAATGTCAATTGAATTTCATATTAACTAAATTGATTAGCTAAAATATCAGCTATTTTGTAAGCCATTCATTACCACCCTGTGATAAAATGAGTTGTTCTCAATGTAATATTTATTGCATGATATTGCAATTAATTATGTAGAAGTCTGTCTCTGGCACACTGTGACTTCCTAAGATTAAGGACAGCTTCCTATATTACTTAGCATTTGTTCATCCACTCACTCATCTAGCATATTTTGAGAGCCTGCTTGCATTAAGAGCTATGCTATGCTCTAGGGATACCAAAGATGAGTAAGACAAGGATCATATCCACCAGGAATTCATACCCTAATTAACATACAAGCAAACAGTTACAGTACAGTGCAGTAAGAGCTGTAATAGATGCAAGGCACACAGCATATTGGTATGCATAGTTAATTATTCTAGTTAGAAGATCTGTAAGTTAACAGTAGAATTTAACACAGGAAACATCTTGACAGATTTTCTTTCATTTTTTAATGGAAAAATACTTACAATTTTGAAATATATTCTTGAGGAAATTCAGGATATGCTATTTCTCCTGATAATCCTATCTTCGGATCTCTTAGGCTCTCTACCCAGGATTATTGACTTGTTAATTTACCTAAAGGAAAGAAAACAAGAACACGGCAAGTAAATCTTCCATAGTACTTTTAGTATATAGTATGTAGTCTATCACAGAGCTTTCATAACCATTAGCTCATTTGGTTCTAAAATAGCCAGCCAATGTCAGCAACACATTTTATAAACGAGGAAAATTAAACATGAGGCTACAATCAAGGTCATGATACTCTTTCCACTGTTTTGTTGCAGTTTTGTACTTTCATGTTGATTTCAGTCCACCTTTGTTTCCAAAAATCTCTTTATGAAAAGTATATAGCCTTAGAATTCTGAAAGCAAGCTTCATTATCTTACTTTTTTCCAAGGGAGTACTTGCCAGAATCATCTTAACATTTCTTACTAATGTGCTCGCTTCGGCAGCACATATACTAAAATTGGAACATTTCTTACTATTAAACAAAGATACAGTAACATCCATTAAGGAGTTTAATCTCTTTGAGGGCAGAACAGTCCTAGAGTATAGTATACTGCTTGACCTATAGCAGCAGATGCTTAGTAAATATTTTTTGATGAGAAAAGGAATCTTTTCAAAACTACCCCAAAACCTTAACCTTGCCTTAGGTTACATAGCTAACTAGTGACACTACAGTTCAAAACTTGTACACAGGTGTTATAAGTTCTATATTCTTAACACCTTACCAACTTACCTAATACCAAAGCCTGTTTCTTGACTTGTGATTTCATTTCCATTTCATCCACCCACTTCCATTGACTATACCCTGAAACTTCCTTACTCATGTAACCTTGAATGAATATCCTTCTCTCTGATTACATTTCTGATCCTGTCCTCCAGCTTTTACTCCATTCATCCTTGTATACCTACTCTCTCAGTTTTCTCCCAATTTATCAGTTTTCTTCAGTCTTAGCTTCCTTCCTTCCAAGTTTCGACTTTATAGTCAGTCACTAGGACTGTTTTCTTCCTAGTGTCCTGAACCCCTGTCTATTTTCATCATTCTACTATCTTAGCTTTGCAAAATCATAAGCCCAGTTTAATGTCACAGTCTGTTTTTGCTATTACTACATCTGGGGAGTTGACTACTACTGAAAAACATTGTATAGTAGTGTGGATTGGTGCCACTACAGTATTATGGCTTCTAGTCTTAATGGGATTCTCAATACCACTTTTCCACTTACGTATTTTACCTGATTAGTTTTCCCTCTCCCCTCACCCACTAGCGACTGAACTAAACTTAAATGTTACTTCTTACCGCAGTTTCCTTCCCAGTTGATATTCTTCCTCTGAATAATCTTATCCTCTCTTGAACTATATGCCAATAATTCCTAAACCATCATCTAGCTGTGTACTCAACATCTTGGATGCCCCATAACATCTCAAACTCAATTTGCAAAGAACAGTTCTTTATTTTTTCTTAATGTTTATTTATTTTTGAGAGAGAGAGAGAGACAGAGAGAAGAGGAGACACAGAATCCGAAGCAGGCTCCAGGCTCCGAGCTGTCAGCACAGAGCCTGATGCAGAGCTCAAACTCACAGACCAGGAGATCATGACCTAAGCCAAAGTTGGACGCTTAACCTACTGAGCCACCCAGGCACCCCTGCACAAAACAATTATTTCCTGAAACCTGTTCTGCCTCTTTCAGCTGATGGTACCCATCATTCATCTAGTTCTCTAAATCTTAAATTCAAGTCATCTAAGTGTTAGAGTTGAGCAATATTGCTCAACTTTCTATCTTTACTGTGATTGCATTAAGAACCTTGTAATCTCTTCTAACCTAGTGTAATCAGTCACTTTGCCGCTAGTCTTAACCCCTTTCCACTTTGTTGCCATTTAGTCGATCAAAAATGCAAATCTGACCATTTAATTCACTTGTTTAAAATCTTCTATGTACAAGACCAAGCCAAAACTCCACCTGAAAACGTACCAGGCCTTTTGTGATCTGGTCTTTGTCGGTGTTTCCAACCTCATCTCCTGCCACCCTTTGCTGACATTATACTTAAGAATAGTTTTAAAAACAGACCATACTGTTTCAGACCCATTACTTTTGCTAATGCTCCTTCACTTGTGCAGAGTTCTCTCCCTCTCCTTTACCTGACATACTCCTACTAATCCTGAGAAATTCAACTAAGGCATTATTCCTCTGAAAACATTGTGTTCTCCCAACTGCATTAAGTATACTTCATCAAACTTTCTTGGCCCCCCAGTGCCTAACTTCAACATAGTATTTTCAGCACATTAAGTTGTTTATTTTTGCTTGTCTCTGTACCATACTATATACTTGTTTGTCTTTGTAACTCTTGCATCTGGTACATGCTTTAAAACCACCCAATTTATCGCACTCTTCAGTTCCACAAGCTGAACTGTACCAGGCTATTTTAAGATAGGCTACTTTTATTTAGGTGCTGCTTAGATTTGCTTATTATATTGTTTATTACTGCTTTAATATTTTAGAGTAGGCCAGAACTTTAGGAATCATATACTTCCCTTACATTAGACTTGAGGTAACTGAGGCACAGGGAGAAACTAGACCAAGGTCATTGATAGCAACATCACACACTGTTTGTTTTTAATGTAGTTTAGTATAAATTAACCTGATTTAGCCTCTTTTTCTGGGCATTCTTAGAGAAAAATACAATGTTAGATAACCAAAATCTAACAAATTAAGATACTAATTAAGAATCCACTCAATCACATTCTTTGTGACTGCATCTAACTATAGAGCTTATTATGAGAAGAAGTATATGTTGGTGATAATAGATTTTAATGATAATACATTTACTTGTTTTATTATTACCACTATGTACAATAATTCTCCATTGGGCTGTCATCTGATTGACTAAATATATACACCACACCTTAACAAATTACTACAGCCAGCAGTGTATTTTTAGGAAATTAACATAATTGTTAGTATGATATGACTTTCCTAAATCTTTTTCACTTTATTTTATTCTTTTTTAAAAAAATGTTTATTTATTTATTTTGAGAGAGAGAGAGTGAGCAGGAAAGGGACAGAGAGAGAGAATCCCAAACAGTTTCCACACTGTCAGCACAGAGCCTGATGCAGGGCTCGATCTCACAAACTGTGAGATCATGGTCTGAGCCAAAATTGAAAGTCGAATGCTTAACCAACTGAGCCATCCAGGTGCCCCTCACCTTATTTTATTCTTAGGAATTTGTTTTAAAAGCTTTTTCCAAGAATCAAAAAAATCCAAAGAATCTTCCTGATGTAAAATTGCACAAAATTCCTTTGCTATTGCTTAACTGAGAGTACAGATCAGAAGAAAATTTATTTTATGTCACTGGCAACAGAGCAACCCTTTATTATTTAAATGCCACATTAACGGTTTATCAGACTTCAGTGAAGAATGAAGATAAACTTACTTAATTGCTACATTGCAATTGCTACATTTGAAAAACTTCAAATGTAAATAAGACACCTTTCTCATTTTCATGTAAATTCTGAAATGAAAAGCAAATTTTTTAATGTTTATTTTTGAGAGAGGGAGAGCAAGAGCACACAAGCCTGCATGCACAAGCGAGGAAGGGGCAGAGAGAAGGAGAGGGAATCCCAAGCAGGCTCCACACTGTCAGCACAGAGCCCAGTGGGGGACTTGATCCCACGGACCATGAGATCATGACCTGAGCCGAAATCAAGAATCAAACACTTAACTGACTGAGCCACCCAGGTGCCCTGAAAAGAAATTTTTAAGCTGCTTTTCAAAATATGGCCAACTGACTTAATAATTGCAAAGGAAGAAAAAATAAAACAGTCTCAGTTCTGTTCAAAACAAAGAAAGTAAGAAATGTCACACTGGAGCAGATAAGCATTGATCTATTTGTGTCTGATAATGAATTTTAAAACAAACAAATAAGTATTCCCAAGTATTCCCAACACATAATCCAGATCTCATGCCTTGGCAGACTTGACCTGGGAAAAGGATGGGCAATAACTCATGGAAGCAACCTAAAGATAAAAGGGACTGGTTCTACCAGCTGTTCCTAAAAAGCAATGTGATGGGTGCTCGTATACAAACAAGTGACCCATAAGCATTTTTCCTTTGCATAAGTATGTCTCAGTTTGCCTGCTACCCTTTTTCAATTTCCCAGTCACTTTTTAAAAAATGTTTAATTTTTTTTTAACGTCTATTTGTTATTGAGAGACAGAGCATGAGCATGGGAGGGGCAGAGAGAGGAGGAGACACAGAATCTGAAGCAGGCTCCAGGCTCTGAGCTGTTAGCACAGAGCCGGACACAGGGCTCAAACTCAAACCACAAGATCATGACCTGAGCTGAAGTCAGACGCTTAACTGACTGAGCCACCCAGGCGCCCCTCCCAGCCACTTTTAATGCTGCTCATCATATCCATTTTTATTATTGGATAGAAAAGACTAGGTCACACATGATTTACTTCAGGCCCTGAACCTCAACTAGAAATAATCCTAAACTCCACTTTTCCTAGGAGCAGTATGGCCAAGGAGAAGCATATTAGTTGTATTCCAAAATGCTTACTTAAATAACCAAGCATTTATTACTTACCCATTTTCAAAATCAGTGGATTCATCCAAACTCTCTTTTCTACCCATTTAAAAATCTGATGGTAACAAGTTCTATGATAATATCCATTCATTCGATACTTAAGTATAAAAGACACTTAAAACTATAACTTGGGATTTTCTCTGCTGCTACCCCCTCAAAGGTGGACCATTTATGACAAGTCTGAATGTTTACTTTGGTTACAAATGTCTGCAGAAACATATGGTCAGATCATATGGTTCTAATAATGTTCCCTTTAGTACTTTGCAGCTTTGACCAATTTCAATATTTTTTCTGGAATTGGAAATTCTTTCTTGTGGGAATGTACTCATTTATCAAAAAATGAATATGTGGTTGTTAAGAACTTTTTGGCTTAGTGCAATATGAAAGACTGTAAGAAGTTTTTTGAGAATTACAACTTTGCATAGATTCATAGTCTTATTACACAAATTCTTCTAATTTCAACTGTGTACCCTTGAGCTTGAAGTAAAATACTATGTTGTTATTATTTTTTTTTTTTGAGCTACATCATACAATGTCTACTCATTCTGAGTTTCCACCCCTCTCTACAGTGACTTCCAGACACAAATGTAATTCAATCCCAAAAGAGATTGGGGGAATGTAGTAAGGGAGGCTCTCTCTTGGTCTATTGTCTTCTCTTTGCTGTAACTGAAAGCCTCTGTAATATAGTACCATTAATTCCTACAGAAGGTAGGAGTTTTACTCACTTTATACAAAAGGCAGTCTAACAAAGAAGACTGTCCTCGATTATTTGAGATTTGTTTGGTGGATTGTCCAACTAAAGAATATGGAGAAACTTTTTATTCTGACGCCAGTAGTGTGACAGTAACATATTATTATTATTATTATTATTATTATTATTAATATACTGTAAAAGGAATGGTAACTCTCACAGGTGTATTACAATGTGGAGGAAACTTGAATAAGATTACTTTGCTACTTCTAACTGCTGAAGAAATAGTTGCATTTTAATATTTTTCTTTTAAATTAGCCTTCTCTTAGACTATGAATCTTCCATGTGATTTTTGTTATAGCCTCTATTATGGGAAAAATTAAGTTCTTATATATTTATATGATAATCAAATTTCTGTTTTAAAACTAACTGGTTTGAAAAATTTTAAAGGTGCTATTTCACATTTAATTAATATAGAGAGGTTTTTCTTATGGTAGATTATAGAGATTTATTAATATTCTCATTTATACATAATTTAATTAGAAAACAGAAATAGGGGTGCCTGGGTGGCTCAGTCGGTTAAGTGCCCAACTTTGGCTCAGGTCATGATCTCGTGGTCTGTGGGTTCGAACCCTGAGTCGAGCTTTGTGCTGACAGCTCAGATCCTGGAGCTTGCTTTGGATTCTGTGTGTGTGTCTCTTTCTGCCCCTCCCCCGCCTGCTCTTTCTCTCTCTCTCTCTCAAAAATAAATAAACATTAAAAATTTAAAAAAAAAAAAGAAATATACTTTTCTCTTGAAAACAGTTTTGATTCTTAGGAAGGCACTAAGCCTAAGGAACTAGAGCATGTGTTTGGGGTTCGGACATTTTCAAACCCAGCCTACTGCTTCCTAACTTTTACTTATATTCTCTGAAACTCAATTTTCTTATACATAAAATGAGGACAATAATACTTACTTCATAGTGTTGCTATGAGAATAAATCGAATTAATGAATTTGTATAATAGGCAATAGTAAATGTAAGCTAGTACTGTTTTTTTAAACCTATTTTTGTACTCTTCCATGCTAAACTAAAGATTGTGAAAGTTAAGATTTTACTTTTTCCTTTAAAACCTTTAAAACTAATGGTTTATCCAGTCTTAACATCCATTCTACCTTCTATTAGACCTTTATAAGTGAAACTGAGATGTTGAATCTGGTGGTTCGGGGTTTTTGAAAGCCTTTTTAAAAATTTTTTGTAGGCATGGAGACAGGTTTATCTTTAAATGCCATCTGGAATATGAAAGAATGTTCTTTAACCAACTACTTATAGTATAGGAATTGTATCAACCAGTCCCTATTCCCATGCCCTTTAATTGGTGCTGGAAATTAAAAAAGTGATCCTGGAAACATTGCTGAATCAAGGGTAAGTTTTTATACATTTGTTCTTGAAATTTAATATGGAGCTGCTTATGCATAATAATATTTCATATATCTTAATAACAAATATTGCTGTGATGCAGATAAATATAATTAATAAGGTCCATTCTCTTTTTTAATAAAAACAAATATAAAATATGATATACTATTAAAGATAAACTATTCCTAGATATAGTGCTTTAGTAAATTTGGCATTAAACCATAAGTATCAAAGCCAAAACTAAAAAGCCATTTAGTATGTCAGCATAGAAAAATTAGACACCTTATAGTTCCACATTACAGTGAAATTACACTTTAAAAACTTGCATTGTTAAAGTAATTCTGTCTTATCTCTTCGTGTGTTTTTTAATCTGCTCACTTAAACCTAATCAGGATTAAATATACATTGGAGACAAAGACATGACCCAAAGATTAGCTTTGTAAAATAAGGATCAGATTTCCAACTCAGTAAACTGCTAGTGTACATCCCAAACTAAGAAGATTCAAAGTTATAATAGTAATGTAAACAATTTGGTTATAAATACAGTTTTATCAAAGGATAGAAGTAGTTTCAGCAAATATGTTCTATGAATTAAGACTAGGTATGTTCTTAAAGACCTATGAATAACATTACTTTAAAAAACATCAATCCCAAATAACTAAAAGTAGTAAGATTTTTTAAAATGTTTTCTTAGTGTAATATAATGTAGCAGGTAAGAATGTGAACTCTGCAGTGAGACCAGTTGAATATCAAATTCTACTTCTCTCACTCTTTATTAGCTCCATGACCTAGAGCAAGTTACTTAACTTTTCTGTTGCTTTTGTGCAAAACTAGGGAAATAATAATACCTAAGCGATAGGGTTGTAATAAGGATTAAATAAGTTAATTCCTATAAACCATTTAGAATAGTGCCTAGCATGATGCAAGAGTTCATGCAACAACAATCATAATGATAATAATGCTATATTATTGTTGTTATTATTATTACTATTATTTATTATTTATATTACTTTAAAAGTCTTTAGCTATTAAAAAGTACAAGATCACTCATCATCCCAACATTAAATAATGTAATTAGAGGTTAGAACATTTATCCAGTTTAGTGTTTAAGTTGTCTGATGATGGCTAGGCATATGAACAATTAAACTATAATATTCCTGTTTTAGCATTATGAAATAGTATCATAGTCCCTTAGCAACAAGAAATGTCCTACTGCTGTGGATTTTATAAGGTGAGTTTCAATACACGTTCAGAGGAAATGCCATTTATAAGCATACAGTTAATTGAATGCTCACAGGAAGAGCACAGTTAAGTAGTATTCCTTTGTGGGCTGCTGAATTATGCCTTACAATTAATACTTCTCTGTGGGAAAAAAATAGAGCTTGTCTTTCTTCCAAGGAAGGTAAAATTGGCAGTATGGGAACATTGAAAAGTTCTGGCAGGGTTATAGATTTTACTTTTGAAAATTTACTCTTCCCAATTGGAAATGTAATAAAGATTTTGCAACAAGGTTTTGTTCCATTGTCTTGCCTGATAAGAAATTTAGACAGGGCAGTAAGCATAATCTTATTTGGGTTAGAACCACTGGGAATTAACTTTCAAATATGGCTTTCTCTTTTTTGGTTATGCTCATGTCATATCCATCCATATTATACTC